TCCCGTAAATCCTGCCAGACTGACAGCCTTTCACACCCAGCAGACTGATAAATGTATTTGAATTAGATAAATGTTTTCAAACGAGATAAATACCTTCCAATTAGGTTAGCTCTGTGTGAGTTTATCAATTCCCAGTGTGAGTGAAGCCCCTGACTTTCCCACCTGCTGGGAGGCTGAACACGTGCAAATGAGCTCTGCAGTGCTCAGGTCTGATGTGAAATTGTTGGATATATTAACAGAGCTCTTCAGAAAGGGACTGTACTTCTCCCAAATTCATTTGGTACTCCCCTGACATAAGGACGTGGAGCTGCTGGAGTGAGTCCAGAGAGGACTGTGAAGGTGCTCTGAGAGCTGGAGCCCCTCTGCTCCAGAGATGGAGAGAGCTGGAGTTGTTCACCTGGAGAAGAGAAGGCTCCAGGGAGAGCTCAGAGCACCTGCCAGGGCCTAAAGGGGCTCCAGGAGAGCTGGAGAGGGGACAAGAGATGGAGGGACAGGACACAGGGAATGGCTCCCAGTGCCAGAGGGCAGGGCTGGATGGGATATTGGGCAGGAATTGTTCCCTGGCAGGGTGGGCAGGCCCTGGCACAGGGTGCCCAGAGCAGCTGGGGCTGCCCCTGGATCCCTGGCAGTGCCCAAGGCCAGGCTGGACAGGGCTTGGATCACCCTGGGATGGTGGAAGTTGAGTTGACCTTAAAGATCATCTTGGTTCAACCCCCTGCCATGGGCAGGGACACCTCCCACTGACCACTAAACTTCACCTGCCCCACCCCAGGACAGTCAGCCCTCAGAACAGGCTCCGTATCCTTAAACACCAAATGGAACAGCCAAAGTGCCCAAATCAGAGAGCAGGCACTGACCTGAGGCTGTGCCAGCGGCAGCTCTGCCTGTCCATGACACCCAGGCCCACATCGTGACTTAGCCATGATTTATGCTGGGCATTAAAAGGAAAAAGAAAAAAAAGCTGATGACGCAAGTGGCTTTTTCTTTCAGGCATTTCAAGCAGGACTGGAGAGTGCATAAGTGCAAGAAATTGCCGGAGAGGGGAGGAGGATTGCAGCTCTTAAATCATCTGGCTCTGCGATGCAGGGTTACACTCAGTGGTGTTGGTGCCGTAAACCAGGGGGGAACTTCTGCTCCCTGGAAAGGCTTTTTCATCAGAAAATGGAGCAAATGTAGGTTTGTTTGAATGTGAATTGCTTTGACTTGGGGTTTTGGTAAGTGTCACAGCATTCCAATGGCTTGAAATCAAAATATGGCTGGGAATACAGGCAAAACTATTGCTGTGTTTGATTTAAGTTTTTAATCCACACTACCTAAATTACTGATTAACCCTGTAGTTACAGGAATACCCATGGAAACATTTGGGTTTGGTGCTAAAACTCACATCTTTGATGTTCTCTTGCACAATGGAAACCACCAAATTTCCACTCAATAGAAGCTGTTTCAGGCCGGCTTTGCTTAGGTACAGTCTGAGTGTGGCACTGAGCTACAGGAGATTTGTAGATATGCAGATATAAAAGGATTTAAAGAGTGTCAGAGTTTCCTACCCCCTCTGCCTGCTTAGACCCTGCTCTTCAGGATCTGCCCCAGCTGGGATGTGTCAGACTGAACTCGGTCTGATGAAACACAGCAACCTCCATTCATTGGAAACATTCCTGTTGCGAGTGGTTTATGCTCATAATGCGGAGCTTAAAAAAAATCTCCCTTGAAATGATGATTTCTCACTGCTCCTACAGCTTTCCTTCAAATCCAACTTCTGCCTGTTATATCTGGGGCTGAAGAGATGGAGCATGAGCCTGCTCCCTGCACGGTGGGGAGCTTGTGCCTGAACTGTGCTGGATTCAGCTTTGCTGCAGGAGGAACGGTGCTGGAAGCCAAGGCACCCAGGAATTCTGCTGGAAAACCCTCTGGATGCTTTTCCCTCTGCGCTGGCTCCTTCTGTGAGCACTCAGCTGCAGCACTCAGCTGATTCCTGCACATGTCCAAGCTGTGCAAACCAGCCTGGCCAGGGCCAGAGGATTGGGAGCCAATCTGCTAAACAGGGATTTAGCCAAGAGGCAGCCCCGAGTGCCAGCCCTCCTAATGCTCCCTTAAGCAGCACAGGCAGCTGCTGCTTCCTCCCTGGCCCTCCTCAGAGTTCACCTCAGTCCTTCAACTGCAGCTAGGCATTTCCAACCAGAATTAGGTTTTCTTGGCTTCTTGCTACAGTGCCTTTTAATTAGGAGCACAGCTGCTCTGGAAACACGTAGCTCACTTTTCAAAGAGTGCCTCTGGAAAGTGATTACAGCGGATTAAAGCGGAAAGGTTAGGCAATTTATTCAGGTGGCACTTAGCAAACGCATTGGATTATTTTGTGCTGCAAGGATGATTTAAAAACTCACAAGAATAACACCTTTTGGGCTCCTGCTGGCCTTAAGGGACTCTGCTGGGCAAGGTGGAGCTGAAAGCTGGGAATGAGCAGTGCCCAACTGCTCTGGAGCTCTCCAGTGTGAGTGTGTGCTGAGGTCCCATTGCCAGTGTCTGTCAGGTCCCCCCAGTTAACAAAGGTTCAGTTCAGGAGTTGTCCCAGGAATGATTGTGGACTCTCCATGTTCATTAATCTTGCCTCCAGAGGATGTTTGTGGGTGGTGCTGTTTGAACCCAGCATTGATCCTCTGCCCTGAGCACTTGCTGCCAGCTCCCCTTTGGCAGAGCTCCCTTTGAAATCATCACAGAATCACTGAGGTTCAAAAAGACCTCCGAGATCATCAAGTCCAACCTTTGACTGATCCCCATGTTTGCAGTGGATGGGGCATCCCAAGGATGAGCAGTGTCTGCTGCCAGGGCTGTAGTGACAGCAAGAAAACAGAATTATTCCCAAATGCAGCTCCTCTGTGTGTTTCTGCTGAAAAAGAAACTGGATTGGAGTTGTTCTGAGACTGGGAAATAGAATATCACTGACTTTGTGATATTCTGGAGTAGTGGTCAAAAGATCAGGGCCCAAGTGGCACCACTGGGCAGCTGTGGCCAAGGAGCAGCCCTGGTGGCTCTGGGCACTGCTGGGCTCTGCTGAGGAGGGGAGTGATGGATCCAGGCTGGAGCTAGCACAGAGCAGGGGCAGCTCTCACTGCATCTGCTCCTCTTCACACATTTGGAGTCTTCGTGTAGGATTAGAAAAGGCTGGAGGAGCTCAGACACTGCGCTGGTGGGAACAGCAGTGCTTTAAATAGAGGAGTCTGAGCAGGACTGAGCACTAACATCACGTCTGAGTGCAATTCAGAGACTTGCAGTACCTTGTTTGCCCTTCTCTCACTTTGTTTGGCTGATGTAGGCGCATTTTTGGTTTTACTCGCTTCTCTGTCCTATATTGTCCCTTTTCTTTCCAGTAATGTTGACTGTTCCATCTGCTTATTTATCAGCCACAGTTCGAACGCGAATTTCAATTAGCAATCTGCTTTGTTTAGTTTTGTTTTAAACAAGGCATTGAGAGCTCCAACAAAGCTTTAATACATAAAGCTACTTGTAATGCAGCTGTTTAAACTCTTCCATCATATCCATGAACAAAATGAATTCTACTGCTATCAAGATGCATCTGATGAATTAGGTTTAATCCTCCTCTACTGTAGCAGATGGAAGGTACTTCAACAAAGACAGAAAGATTTCAAATGACTGAGATGGAAAATGGTCTTTGCTCAGTGCTCCAGAGACATAAAAGAAACTCAAACCTCACGTAGTAAGAAATAATTCATCCAGCAACCAGAAAAAAATTCTGCGCTGATCCTGATGCTTCTCTTTTGGGTCTGAGGTGACAAGTTATGGGTGTGGAGGCAGAGAAGAGGGTGGCCACGTGTGCAGGAGCATCTCAGGTGGGAACGTGCTTCCCTGAATCCCTCCTATCCAGGTTTGCAATCCCGTGTGCCTGAGGCCCTGCCAGCTTGGATCTGGACCACCAGGATCCCTCACGGGAAGGGTTCCCTGTGGTGTTTGTGTTTGCTAAATGAGGAGGGGTTAATTGCTGTGAGTTCGACATCACAGAGTGGTTTGTGTGGGAAAGGACCTTACAGATCACCCCATCCCACCCCAGCCATGGCAGGGACACCTTCCACTGTCCCAAACCCTGTCCAGCCTGGCCTTGGGCACTGCCAGGGATCCAGGGACAGCCCCAGCTGCTCTGGGCACCCTGTGCCAGGGCCTGCCCACCCTCACTCAATTCTTAGGAACAATTTCTTTGTAAGATCTAATCTAAATTTCTCCTTTTTAAAAACTGCTCCCCCAATCACATATTCCTTCAACACCCTGTCAGTAACAAATTCACTATCTGAATTTCGTTGAGGTGTGGTTAAAACAAAGCCCATGCTGAGCTGACCGAGTGCATCCCCAGCACCACAACTCAGCAGTTCCCGTGCCCAGCACTGCGAGGTAACAACAGTCCCACACCTGGCACACCGGGCAATGGAAAAAGAGCCCCGCGGCTCAGGTATCGGCTCCGTGCCGGGCCAGGCTGCTCTCAGGTGGAAACCGATCCCTGCCGAGCATCCTCTGCCGAGTGTCCTCCATCCCGCCGTGCTGGGATGGAGGGAAGCTGAGGAAGCTCTGGGATGGACGCAATCACCCGGGACGCATCCCTTCCCGGGAGGGCCGAGGAAAGGTGCCAGGACTTTCCATCCTGCGCAGCTCCCAGCCGCTCTGAGCCGCGGGCAGGGCTCGGCGCGCCGATGAGCGCTGATGAGCGGGCGCGCTAATTGCGGGTCCCGCGGGGGCGGGCGCTGGGGCGGGGCGGGGGGGTCCGGTCCCGCGGCGGGGCCGCTCTGTATAACCCGTCTCCCGGCAACGGCGGCCGCGTCACTTCCTGGGGAGCCGCCGGAGAGCCACGGACAGGTGGAGCGGCGGGGCCGGTACCGGGGCTGATCGGGGCGCTGCGCTCCTGCCCCGTCCGGCTCCGCTCCTGTCCCGTCCGGCTCCGCTCCTGCTCGCCTCGCTCCGGCCGCTCCATCCCCCGGTGCGCTCCCGGCTCCGCGGCGATGAGCGCGGAGCTGGACGGCGTGTCCGTGCACTCCTCCTCCTCCTCGTCGGGCTCGCTGGGCTCGGCGGCGGGGCCGGCACCGCGGCCGCTCTCGGCGAACGTGCGGCGGCTGCACCAGGCGCTCACGGCGCTGCTGAGCGAGGCGGAGCGGGAGCGCTTCATCCTCTGCCTCAATGCCTACCACGGCCGCCGCAACGTCTGCGACCTGGTGCGCTCCCTGCGCGCCCTGCTCGACGGGCCCCGCCGCCGGCAGCTGCTGCCGCTGCTGCGCCTCGTCCTGCCGCGCTCCGACCAGCTCCTCTTCGATCAGTACACGGCCGAGGGGCCCTACCTGCCGCCCCCCGGCCGCCCCCCGCCGCCCCCGGCCCCGCCGCCGCTGGTCCCGGGCGAGCTGCGGCAGGTGACGCTGCGCCGGAGCAAAGCCCACGAGGGTCTGGGCTTCAGCATCCGCGGCGGTGCCGAGCACGGTGTGGGTATCTACGTGTCGCTGGTGGAGCCGGGCTCGCTGGCCGAGCGGGAGGGGCTGCGGGTCGGCGATCAGATCCTGGGGGTCAACGGCAAGTCCCTGGACAGGGTGACCCACGCCGAGGCGGTCAAGGTGAGGCTGCTCCGCACCGAGCTCCGGTGGATGTTTCTTCCGTCCCGCCTTGTCCCGGGCTTCGCTGCGCGCCTCGTCCGGCTCTGCCTCTCCGGTGCCTGTCCGCGTCCCCCCGCTCCTCCCTTCCCTCCCCGGCTCTTGTCCCCGTGCTCCCCGTCCAGCCGCATCCCTCCCCGGGGACCGGAGCCCCCCCGGTGCCGCTCTCCGGGACGCGGCGCTGGGAACGCGCATCCCTCGGCGGAGCGGAGCCGCTCCGGGTTTGCGGCATCGTGCGGGACCAGCCGAGCGCGGAGCCCCGCCGGAAAGTTTGCGTTGGTATTCGCGGTGCCAGCCACGGCAGGGACCGAGCTGCCGGGGTGGCTTTGGGCACGGCAGGCTCGTCCTGCGCTTCTGTCGCGGCTCTGAAGCGCAGCGGTGCTGCTCGTGGCTCGCCTGCAGCCTGGGATGCTCGTGGAAGCTGGAAATCTGCTTGAGCCGGGTTTTAAAGGATATACTCCAGCCGCTCTAGTGGGTTTCTCTTCGTAAAGATGGGGAAACTGAGGCACAGAAGCAGGACAGACCCACCCCAAGGGTTGCATTGTGCCCGAGGCAGGAGCAGATCCCCGATTCCCCTTTCAATGTGCCGGGGGAGAAGGAGAACGGTTACACAACTGAAGGACTCCCGCTCTCCCAGCACGGCTCCACATGCCCCGGAGACCTGTTGTAGCCCATAACAGCATGGGGGCTATCGATAAAAGCTTTAATGCGGGGGGAGAACTCCATAAACCGTGGGATTTTCACCTGAAACGCGGGGTTCTGAGGCAAATCCGGGTCTGAGTGTCCCAAACCATTCCCAGAACTGATCTTGTGGCTCCGCTCGGAGCGTTCCTGAGGCTCAAACCCATTGAGCTGGAGCATCGGCTTTTAGAGCAGTGATTTGTAGGCAGCGTATGGAGAGCTGGGATCTGGCGTGACAAGGCTGCTTTCCAGCTGTTTGTGCTTTAATTTTTCCATAATAAGCTAAAGTGGTTCTGTTGGGAGCCTGTTCCATGTGGAGCGTTCCCCTGACAGCGCATTAATCTTGCTCAGCTTTGAACACCTCTCCCCTGCCGACCTGTGCGTTCCCTGCCCCGGCTTTAAATCCGTGCCCTGGGCAAGGGTGCGACTTCCAGGCTGCAAAATGAGTCACTGGTAATCCTGAGAGCAGAGGAAAGGTTTGTAGGAATTCTTTTTCTCTTGTTCCCAATGATAGGACAACAGCAGGGTAAGCTTTCCAGTGTTAGTCTGCAATTTTGTGCCTTGGAGATTGCAGCCCCCACATATTTTGGTTATGGCACTGGGATGGAGAGGAACCAGGTGTCAGGAATGCTCTGCTCCATGACTTCATCTCCAATTCATCCCATTCTGCTGGGTAATTCACATCACTTTCTGTTTGTTCTCTAATATAATGTAATTGATGCCTTTTAGACATTATTAATTTTGAGTGAAACTAAGTGCTTCCTGCACAGAAATAATTCCTGGAGGACGTGGCTTGCCAAGAGCTATATTTTGTTAATATGATCCTGATAGGAAAAAGCAGCTTAGAAATTGTCTCCTTGTGAGCTGAACTTCTTTCAACAACAAATATATCACTTGCCAGGTGCTGGCACCTTCTTGAGCTCCTGGGTTCTTTTCACATCTGGGAAGGGTTTTTATGACCTACGTGGTGGTGGTGGAAACATTTTGCTTGGGAAGAGTGGCAGAGTGATTTACATTGCAGCTCTAATAAATCCTTGGGAGATTCTAAAATGAACCAAGTGTTAATTTGCCCTCAGATGCTGCATTTGGGAGGGGGGAGAGGAAAAGATCGTGTTCAGCGATACTCAAGGGCAGCATTTGAAGGTTTTACGTACGAAATACCTCAGCCCAATGTTTTGGGTGTCATTTGGAGTGTCAGAGCTGCAGAGACAAGACGTGGTGATGGGTGGCTTTGTTTTGTGCTCTCTGCTTCTCCTTGAAACCTGGGATCTGGGGCTGGGTGCACTGACAGCTCTGCAAAGGCCTCTGGCTGTGCTCTGGTGTCCTGAGGCAGAGCAAACCTTGCTGTGTCCTGCCCTCCTCACTGCAGTGGGTCAGTGGAGAGGGAAACATCAGCTCAGTTGGTCAGGGCACGGTGCTCATAACCCCAGGATTGGGGATTTGATCCCTTTATTGGCTGTTCACTGAAGAGTCGGACTCGATGATCCTTGTGATGCCTTCCAGCTCAGAATATTCTGTGATAAACCAGAGCTGGGTTTGGTCCTGGAATTCATGCACACGCTGTATTTGGGATCAAATAGAGAGAGGGAAAGCTGAGGAGGGAGGTTTTGTTAACACAAGCCCCTGGCTGTGTAGCTGATCTCTCTCTGCTCCTTCAGAGGAGGGGCTGTGCCGATCTGCCTCGGCCAGAAGGTGCCTGATGGAGCTCGGCTCTGTCCCTGTGCGTGCGGCGATGCTCCGGCTCCGGCTGCGCTTCCCCGGCGCTGTCCTGCAGTCAGGAGCTGTCTGACCAGGGCAGCCCCTCTCTCCATCACAGGCACGGCGTGCTGTGCTGACAGAAGCTGTCAGAGCTCGTTCTTGGGGCGAGTGCAGGGCTCGGGAAGGCTCCCGGGCACTTTGCGCTCCCCGAGCTGAGCGTGACAAACTTCCCGAGCCACAGATCCGCTCGAGGTGCCCGGCTGTGGCTGTGGCAGCTGCTCAGGCAGAGCAGGGAATAAATGCAATGTCTGGATTTGTTTGTGCAGCCTTGGGTGAGCGTTCCCACGGCAGGCACTGCGTTCCTTTCACGGGTCGTGGTAGCTCTGTTGCCTTTCTGTGCGTGTCTGGCTGTGCAGGAGCAGCCCAGCTTCCTCTGGAGGAGCAGATAGGTGCTGGCTGTGGGGCAGCAGCAATTTCTTTTTACTCCTGGAATTTTCAGGCATCGCTCAGTGATGCACCCAAAGCGAATCCTGGCAGCAGATGAGAACTGCCACAACACCGGGCTAAGTGACCTGCGTGATGTCCCAGCTCAAAACTCACTGCTGGCCTGTGACCAGCGGTGTTTGCAGATGTTTCAGCCTAAATTAGATAAAAAGTGGCATTCTGACTTCAACCACAAGATTACCTCAGCACTTCAAATCAATTCCCTTAATGACCAGCTCCTTAACCTTTATGTGAGCGCAGGAGTTTTATGCCTTGTCTGCTCCGCGCTCGGCTGTTTCATCCAAATCCAATCCAAATCCAAATTAAATGACTCCATTACAATTACAGCTCCATCATTGCAGCATTCAAGAGTGCACTTTAGCAAAAGATCACCAGCATTTGAATTATGGGGCAAGTGGAGAAGTTTGTGTTTGCTGCCGTATTTTTTAGATCTCACTTGGTTTTTTTTATCAGCCTTGCTATTTAGGACATTATACACTATATATATATTTATTTTACTATTTATGGTGTATATACTGCTGTATTTTAGCATATACTGCTATATTTTAGCAGTTGTGCTGAGAGTTTGTATTGGTAATCTGTCATACTGTCATATTTTATCCAGAGGACTTAAAAATCAAGGTGTTTGTGGCTTTAGACCATCAAAATGTTACCCAGGAAGGTGTTTCCCCATTGCTCTGGGGTTGACATTAAATTCACACTCCTTTCTCCCCCCACCCCTTATTTTTCTTGCTTTGCTGTAGGTTTTCATGTCCTTTGAATAAAAGGACATTTAGGGAAGGAGGGGACGAGAGAAAATGGAAAAATTCCTGATGTAGGAATTGGCTGAATGAGCTACACTGGCCTCAAAGAGCTGCACTGGTGCCACCATTGGCCCTGCTGTTCTTGCTGGGCAAATCTGGATCAGCTTGACCAAAATCAATAAAACTCCACTAATTTGGATGTGCTGGGCTTGGGGAGTTTGATTCTTTGGTGTTGGCTTTGCCAAAGTCCCTGGGCTGGAATTGAGTTTATTCTGAAGGAACTGGGGTAGTTCAAGTGCCCTGGGTTGGTTTTTTCAGCTGTGGAGAGAGGCTGGAGGGGGCTGGGGAAAGCTTGGGATGGTGCAGAGCTGTGGCTGACAAAGCAGAGGGTTCCAGGATGTGGCACTGCCAGTCTGTCCTGTGCCAACCCTGCCTGGAAGGGAGGAGGGATCACATCCAGGGGGATCTCATCCTCTCCCTGACCTGTGAGGGACAGGAATTGCATCAGGGGGATCTCATCCCCAGCCACCACCATCTCTCTGTTCCAGCAGAGCCTTTCACTCCCTCCAGCCTTTCCATCGCCTGCTCTGATGGAAGTGTCAAGTGGGCATTTAAAAATAATTAAAAGGAGATTAAAATTCCTTTTATGTCCTGTTACTGTGGGTTTTCATGCTGGCAAACAAGGTGATCTCTTCAGAGACCGTAATATTTCACAAGAAAGGGCCCCAGGTGTGGGATTGCTGAAAGACCTCTGAGAAATGACAGCAGAGATGTGCAGTCCTGAGCCTCACAAACATATTTAGAACCATTTTTCTTTCCAGCCAGCTTACAATAAAGCAAATTTTGTGTGATTGTTTCTTGTGATGCCCAATTAATTGATTACTGTGACGTGACCCTGCTGATTTAATCACCACTGCACTGTGGGCACGGCTCAGAGGAATGAGTGCAGCTTGCTTTGCTTGGGTTTTGACCCTTCCAAGTGCTTGGAGCTGAGGATGATGAGCCAGAGCCAGGCTGGGATGACTGAGGGGTGAAGGCAATCCATTGATCCCTGATTCTGTGAAGATCTCAGCCATGTTCCTTTAACTGCTGAGTGCTCATTGCCCGCTCTGTGCTTTTAGAAGGCACTAAAGAAAGAGGTTTGGAACTTCTCCCCTTCCCAAGGGAGCTTGGGAGCTGGAGCATGGAAAAGGAGGATGTGACTCGCATCCACCCCAATAGTTAGAGTGGTAATCGCTTCCTTCATCTCTGGATCTGCTGAGAAACAAAAACCCCAAAGCTGCACTCAAAAAAAGCACTCACAGCTTAAAAGGCAGGTGCTGTGTGATGCCAGGGGCT